CTCTCTCTCTCTCTCTCTCTCTCTCTCTCTCTCTCTCTCTCTCTCTCTCTCTCTCCTTCCCTCCCTTCCTCCCTCCTTCCTGGCCCCCTCTCCATCTCTGTCTCTCTCTCTGTCTCTCTCTTTCTCTCAGGTTGTCATTTTAGACATTTCCTAGGAGTTATACATGTGATATCTAAACAGAGCCCATAACATAACTTGTTTGAAGTAAAAATGTATTTTTTTCTCACAATAGGTTGTTTAATAAAAAGCTTGTATGGCAGAAAATATTTTAATATCAAGTCTCAGAGGCATTGAAGCCATGAACTGTCCTTAAGATTTTTCTTTTCAGTTTTTACCATGACAGGATTCCTGTGGTGATGTCAATAACCAGGAGAAAGCACTGTTATCTACAGACTCTAGAGACTAAGGGTCAGCTACCTGTCTCTCTGTTCATTGTCAGATCACCCACTCTGAGCCTGTGCTCCCTGTAGTAAGGCCTGACTCTTGCCTCTCTAGTGGGCACCAGGTTTTGTCTCTGTACTAACAGCTCAAATAATGACTCACGGTTCTCTCCTTGTTTGCCTAAAGAAGGGTGAGAAATAGCATGGTGGAGTGGAAGAAAAACAAACAAGCAAAAACCCCAAAATATGTATGCATCTGATATGAGTTTGTGTCTGAGCTGAGGGGGAAATGTAGGCTACACTGTCCCCTCAGTGTCACAGCAACCTCTGAAGGTAGGACTGTGCCAAAGGTTTCTCAAGGCTTGCCCAGTGTAACTGGGGAAACAATCCTCTTAGACATACCCACCCTGACTTTAAGAAAAAAATTAATTCTCAGAAAGGGTATTAAAGATCTCAAATAAAGAATTGCAAGTGAATATATTTTTCAATCAATAAATGCAGCCCACTTTTAGTGCCCTTTTAATACCGTTTACAATAGAATCTCTTCCCTCTCATTCAGAAAACTGGTCCCTCCTATTGTTATTCTTTCCTACCTCTGTGAAAGATTTCATCCTTCTTTCAGTTGTCTAGGGCTTGATTTCCAGATCATTATTATGGTTAATATACCCATGTATTTATTTATATATAATTTATGGTATATGCCATAAAAATTGCCACCCTAAGTACTTTTGTTTAAGTACTAGTTAGTGGCATTGTGTTGTGTCATGACTATCCACCTCCTGAACTCCTTGTCTTTCACAACTGAAACTGTATACACACTGAAGCTTAATTCATCATTCCCCACTCTACAACCCCTGGTAACAACTGTTCCACTGACATCTCCATCAATTTCACTAGGTGGGAGTATTTCATATAACTGGAATCATGTAGTATTTGCCTTGTAATGGGATCATTTATTCAGCATACTGCCTTCACCATTCATCCATACTGTTACCATGTGTCAAAATTTCATTCCTTTTGAAGATTAAATAAAATCCCATCATATTCTTCACTTTGGTTATCCATTCATCTTTTGTGGACATGAGTTGTTTCTGCTTTTTCAGTTATTGTGACCATAGTGCAAGTGTGGACATACGAGTATCTATTGAGTCTTTCTTTGCATTTCTGTTGGTAAAATACCCAGATGTTGGACTTCTCTACCTTGCAGCAATTCTGTTTAATATTTTGAAAATGTCTACCCTCACATCCACAGTGCCTGGGTAATTTTCCTTATCGTTAATGGTGCTTAATTCTATTCAAGTACCCTGTGGGTGGCAGGGACTGTTCTTGTCAGCTGTCACAATACACAACTTGTAAGTGCCTTTTCCATGGTAGGGTAGCTGTTATATTCTGCTCTACCTTTTGTATATAGGTTTTTGATTTGGTGTAGTAACATTGATGTATTTTTCTTTTTGTTGCCTGAGATTTTATTGAATGCAAGACACCATCACAAAACTAAATATCACAGTACCTCCATCTTTACTTCTAATATTTCTAGTTTTAGGTTCATTAATTATTTAACCTACTTTGAGTTTATTTTGGATATGAAGTGAGGTCTAAGGGTCCACATTTATTCCTTTGCTCTTGGATATCTAGTTTTCCTAGCATTGTTCACTAAAAACACTGCTATTTTCCCTATTTAGATGTCTGATGACTTCATTGAAAACCTTTTGTCAGAACTATATCTGTAGTGTCTGAATTATCAAGTGTAGCCTGTATGTTTCCTGGGCACAACTATCAGATGTCATTCTAAAATATGCCACTGACATTACCATGACTTTGCTCAGCATCAACTACTAAAAGCAGTGGTCTCCCCATACACACATATTTACGAGCATATGTGTGTATGCATTTGTCTGTATTCTAAATGCCTCTCTTAAAACCTTTGCTATGCCATTACACTCAATACATTTCATGCTTTCCACTTTAAATCATTTAGGCTTTGTGTCTAAAAGCCCTTTTAATTTAATGAGATTAAGAAACTCTGGAAATCCAGACTCTAATAAATACTCTGAAACACCCCGAAAAGCCATTTGCAAAATGTCTTGGCTAATGTCACACAGTCTGCGCTGCATAATCTAAGACGGTTGTGTGTGAAAACAGAACACCAAGGAATCCAGTGAAGGCAAAGACAGTGCTATTTATCATTTTGATAATCAGAGAATCCTAGTTTTGGGTTTAGAGAATGCTTATCTGAAATTTGTCATGAATATAGCAGTAGGATTGTGCTGGGCCTGTCGTCCAAAATGCCAACAGCTCTTTGGAGCTAACATAGCTGGTGGTGTTGACAGATGTTCATGGAGTTAGCTCAAATTCATGACAATTGTTTTCATCTCAGGAAAGTCTGAAAGCTACTGTCCTGGTTATAGGTTTCTCAAGTTTATGAGCCTCGAAACTAAGATACCACTCAGTTACAGAAACAAAGTCTGGAGTCCGTTTATGAATGAACAGTTATTTAGCAAAACTGAAGGAGGCCCATTGAAAAGAACCCAGAAGCAAACAATCTTGTTTCCATGGAAACCTCATGCAGGAAAAGTTCATGCATCTTGTTTATATTCCTCCTGGACAGACGTATTCTGTAATTGACTCTGTTCTCTCCTTCGTCTATCCCTGAATGGCAATAAGGAGGTTCCCTCCTGAAGAGGCCACTGGACCCTAAGCTCAGGCTCTGCAGATTCCCTGTCTCCTCATTGCTGGTGTTCAGTTCCACTGCAGGCAAGGGAAGAGGAACTGGGTTCTTGAACCTAAATTAGCCAGTTGACCTGCAGTGTGTGCTAGTCACTGGAGCTGTGCACGCTCATACTTGTGATGCATGCAGGATCTCTGCATCAACTTTAACCTGAATGTGCTGTTCACAGGAGCTGTGCATCTTCATTCTTGAAAAGGTCACATTTTTATTCACATGATTTTTACTTTTTTGACTATAGCATTTTAGCTCTGTGCTAGACTTGTGTATGTCTCCTAAAATGATACGAGAATGATAATTATAGACCATGTTTTCATTTTTTCTTTGGAGTTTGAAGCCACTAAAAGTTTGCTTTGAAACTGTAGTTTTTTTTTATCTACCACTGATATTTATCATCTCATGATTTAATTTTATAGCAAGTTTGACATTAAATTACTTATGCCATGTCTCATATTTCATCTCATTTCTTTGCCACAAAAATCAACTTAAGTAACATCGAAAATCTTTATAGTCATCTGTCACTGGCAATTTGCAGTGGATAGCTGTCTTATTTTCCAACAGTTCAATAAATACAAGCCAGAATCTCTCATCCTTTGAAATTTTAAGAAGACAAGATGAGTTTAGTTTTAAATGCAAATTAAGTGCCCAAGAGAAATCCACCCACCTGAGCAGCATAGGCCTGGGCTGTTAGCGGCTGAGTCCTCCAGACATTGATTGGGTTGTGCTCTTCATTTTTCATTATACCATAAAGTACTAACATATATATATTTTTCCCCCACAGTAAAACCAACTGTGATCGACGTGGACATTTATGTTAACAGCATTGGTCCTGTGTCATCCATCAACATGGTAAGAAGCACCTGTGTTTAACTCGGTGGCTCCTATGTGCCTTCATGCTTACCGGCTCCACTGGATTTCTGTTGCGGCCTTATCAAACAAGTTTAAAGCTCACTATTGACTCAACTATTAAGTGCCATGGTGTTGAAAATAGTTTTTAAAACCAGAAGGGACAGATTGTGACACCAACAGTGAGTCATTGCTCTGAAGATCAAGAATTGTTCCTATTCTCATATATTATTTGCACATACCTTTCAGATGCGGTTATTTAGGGTTGTGTATTCATTGGCTTTATCTGACCTCACCAATATTAGTAATGCATGTAAGTTCAGTGAGAGAGCTCTTTCCACATGGACAGTGCTTAGCTGCTAAGCATGTGATGCTGTACTAGAATGCATTATACCAGGCCACCTGACACATCTGCCAGCTGTGGTGTGCCTCCTGATTAGATGCATATAGGAGTCCCAGAGCAGGTCATTTGATGGTGTCAACAATGTCCCATGTGGAGCTTCTCTTTGCCCAGTTCCTCTGAATCTGGGAGATGTAAAAGAGAAAGGACAGGGAATTGCTAACATGCCAGCACATGCCTTCTCTATTTGTAGTGTTTTGTGCATTGGATTAGTACTTTCAAGTCAATAGCAGTTGTCAGATATTGAAGGTGTCTGTTTCTCACAGAAAGCATCCATGTCATGGTAAAATTATGCTATACATGATTCTCTTTTTAAAAGTTTTTTTTTAAAAAGTGTGGCTTATGATAGAATGGTAGCATATGTGAGGTTCCATGTGGAATCTGTTGCATCAAAAACAAAACCTCCAAACAGAAAATTAAATCAATGTCATCTATAAGTACAAACAGAGAGGTGAAGTGAATAAAATAAACTTGCTTCATACAACACCTGGACTGGAAATGGCTGGCGTATTAAAGTCAATTAAAAATGTTATCTTCTTTTACCTGGGAAGTAATTACTCAGTCAACTGTGCTGAGAAAAATACTCATTTTTGATGTATTGGGTTCTTACTCTGGGATTTAGTTTGGTTGCCTTTGATCCACACAACTTTTTAGTTCCTTTGTGTCTCACTCTGATTTATCTCTAACACTAAGGGTTCCTCTAGAGACACAATCACACATCACTTTAATAAGGATGTTACATTGGTGGGGCTGGAGGTTTATCAAGCTCTAGGAGCTTCAAGATGCATTTTCTGCTCATAATTATACTCTCTGGTTGGGCATTTTTGTGTGGAAATCAAATGTGCCAGAGGGTGTTCCTAACTGACATTACTTAGAGAAAACAAGGACTTCACCTAGGGTCAAACTCATTTCAAGACAGATTAGCAGGTTGGCAGGGTTGGAATAGGCTTTTCCAACAAAATCAGCACGGTCATGTGCCAATGGGAGCAGCCTTGCAAGTCCCTTGTGTGACTCAATAGGAGATGAGTGAATGCTGGATAAGAAATATCCCTGGACCTGGAAGATTAAGGCTTGAGGAGAGATGGGAGAGGTCTGAGCTATATCTTAGGTCTGTGAAAGTGCAAAAGCCTTCTTGAACATGTGTTCTATGAATTGATACAGAACTCTTTATAATTGTTGTTTCATCCTTTCATGATTCTTTTTTGAGATATCATGTGTCCTTGGCTGGCCCTGAATTTTTTGTGTAATAAGATTACCTCGAACTTGTGATCTAAATGATGGTTTTATAGGCATGTACCACCATTCTTGGCTTATGCAGTGCTGTGGATCAAACCCAGGGCTTTGTACATGCTAAGCAAGTACCTTTCTACCTTCTTTGATCCCCATGTTAGAATTTAAGTCTTGAATTCTGGCCCGTCCACCAAATGGTAAAGAATGATCTTAATTAATTAAAGATCTTAATTAATTAAAGATGGCCCAACAGGTAAAGGTATTTGCTGGTAATCCCAAAGACCTGAGTTCAATTCCTGGAACTCACAGGTAGAAGAAAAGAACTGACTCCCACAACTTGTCTCCTGACTTTCATGCACTGTAGCATGCATGCTTGTATACACATGTATACACATATAGACACAACACATAGACAAATACACAAATAAATAAATGTAACTTAAAAGTTAAAAAAGTGTGATCCTTCTCAAATTGGCTGATGGCATTGTGAGCCCTTCAGAAGAAGATACCTATGTCTCTATGCTTCTTAGATTTCGTATCTCCTACAATGAAAGGTATGTAGTACAAGTAGCTGCCCTTTATTCTGAGAAACTGAAACTCCTCTTTAGGAAACAACAAACAAACTGAACCACAGATGCATTTCACTCTGGAATAGTGGCATGTTTAATATATTTCAGCAGGGCTAAATTTTTCTAAGAGATTCCTGTATCTGACTTCCTGAGGAAGAGAAAAGAAGCATTTTTGACTCAGTACCATGAAACATAGGATGAGCTAGGGCATCTTTAGGAAAACATATGCACACCTTTCAGTCTTGGTGAGTACCTGTAATCCCATCACTAGAAGGCTGAGGCAAGAGGATTATGAATTTCGGACCTGCCTCAGCTATGTAGTGAGATTCTGTTTCAAAAAATACCAACCAACCAACCAACCAACCAAACCAAACCAAACCAAACCAAACCAAACCAAACCAAACCAAACCAAACAAAACAAAACCAAACAAAACAAAAACAAAAATAAAACCCAAAAAACAACAATCAAAAAAACCAAAACATAAACAAGGCTGAGGATATTGCAGCATTGCAGAGTGCTTGCTTAGAATGTAAATGGGCTTGGCTTTCACACAAATATGTAATTGCTATATTCTCTGTTAATGGCTATCTCTTTACTTCTGTTAGTTCAGTCATTAAATATTTGCTGCTGTATGTTTGGCATTATTTTGGATGCAGGTGAGGCAAGACAAAGAGAGTTCTTCTCTGAGGGAGGCAGAGGCATAAACACAACTGGTGCTAGAGTGGAGTTAGACCCTCCATTCAGCTTGTGGGGAGAAGCATGGCTGACCTCTTGGGAGACATCCATGACGTCCTGAGACAATCTCAAAGATGCTTCTCAAAAGTCCTTTTGCTGCTGGAGAGTGGGAATTGCAAAAGATTCAATTCACATAGTTGTGAAGCAGAACCATAGTTTCAGAAGATAAGATGGTCATAAGTGAAATGTGGACCTGGGCAAAAATGAAAAGTATTGAGTAGATGACGGATGGTAAGTGGGTAACGAGGGTCGAGTCAGCAATAAAAGGTGGAGGACAGAAATTAAAGCAACACAACTACAGAAGGTATTATGGAAAAAAGTATCATTTGGAGGCATATTCTTCCGGGTTTCAGGATGTAAGTTTCTATTCAGCTTTAGTGACAATGTTAAATGTTGGTAAGATGATAGAATATACCCCAAATAGCCACTTTGCAATCAGCATATTAAGAAAGACAATGGCTGTTAATACTGGTATCTCATGGGATATTTAATGACTTTTTGAATACTGGGGTTTTAATCTCAGAACTTTCTGCTAGTCAGTGAAACAGTGTAGAGTTCAGTCTATTTCACCGATTGACATTGCTGTACTACAGTTGTCAATGCTTACTCCCTTTGGGACCAGAGAAGAATACTTTAAGCAGAGTTGTCATAGCATTCTCTGTGTTGGCCACTGCAGTGGAGCTTGATATGTACAGTTTCTGGTAGATGCAGATTACTCAGGACCAATGAAGCACATGTAAGTTCATTTTTGAGAATCTCTAGTTGATGTAGCCTTTTTAGAAAGTTTAATCTCCAGGGTGTTGTGCTGGTGAGCTGCCCATTGTTCTTATCGTGTTGAATTAAATGAAGTGCCTTGGCGTCTCGTGGGGAGGATTCTACGCATAGTCAGCTTGGTGGACACCCCAGGACATCCACAAGGCAATGCAGCTGTGTACACCATAGAAATGCCACTTCACCTACGCACTGAGATGATGAGGGCTCAGCATGTGGCAGGGTTAGGATTACTTTTCCTTTCTGAAAATTAAAATACTTAATATTTATCTCCTGAAAGTGCACCACTGACAGGAGGACTTTTTCTTCGCACACTGTGAAACAAGTATGGGCCATATAGAATCCTATCTTTATTTAGTGCCTGTACCTTCTCTGTCCACTAACCCTGGAAACCAGTGAGCTGGTCTTATTAGACCTCTGTACCTTTACTTTCCCCAGATGCTGCAGGACCGTAGCCATACTGTGTGGCTCCACACTGATTCTTTCTTCCTTGAATGTTCTGTCACCAGCTCATCTGTGGAAGCCTAATCACTGAAGCTTAAGGAATAACAGGTGGCTGAGAAGGCATAGCAACAGGCTAGATATCACTAGAACATAACCTGTGATATATAACCTTGTAACTTATAACCTAAGTGTTCAGAACTGGTAGCATGCTGCATGGGTCCTCTACCCCTATCTGCCTTTGCATACTGGTGGTTGGTGGTCTCGGGGTGCAGAGGAAATGTGGATCAGGGGCTCAATTGGAGATGAGTATGGAGGGTATAAATAATCCAGAAGACTGTGTTGGAGGACAGCATGTTTATTGGATGGGTAGTTTATACAGCTTGAGTCAGTGAGGAGAGGAGGAAAAAGGACAAGGGAGAAAATGCACCTAATTTGCATATTTAGATCCAATTGAAGATAGGCAAACTTTAATGATGTACCAATTCAAATTAACCAAAGTTCATTGGAAAAGGCAGGGGCTTTACAAGATTATCAGTTAGATTAAAAGATAGTCAGTCACATGATTTCTGAGAACCTAGTTCTTGGGAGGGGAAACAGAAGCCTAACTGGTCCTATCATGACCTATCATGCTATGGCCTTTGTCTCTATGTGGTTGGGTAGGTTCAAGTCTGATTTGGGGAGTGAGTGGCTCTACTCCTGTTCTGCTCTCTGAGAACTTGTCCTAGGTAGGGACAGGACTTTACCATCCCTCATCTGTCTTGTGAACCCACAATGCTGCACATCCCTGAGGGCGATAAGAGAAAATTGAGGCCTACCAACCTCACTATTGTCATCCTCTTAGAGCAGAAGTTTT